AAAGGGGACACATCTCCACTCTCTGACCGCGGGAATAGTTAGTAGTTGCGTTGAGCAGTTGTGTTGAGCGGTTGTGTTTTAGTGAGCTGGTATTTTTCAGTAGTTTTACATTGTATTTCACCATTTGTAATCATGGTGCAGGTTGCACAAATACCAGCCTGTCAAGACAAACCGTATTACATCTCTCCCCCACCCCCCTGTTAGATTAACATTAACATGCTTATTGTAGTTGTAAGTAAAGTAACTTACATGTATTACTTGTACTAGCCAACTATAAACAACTATATCTTAAACATATCTTAAAAATGCCAAAAGTATTTGAAACTGTGTGTGTATTAAACTGATGGGGGAGGGGGCCGGAGAGAAGGAAGTCTATGCAAAATGTGTGTGTGTGTGCAGGCTGCAAGATGCAAGATAACAAACTTGTTATTCGGAGCAGTTCGTACCAGACACCAAATGTGTCTGCTTTGCCTCAAACTTAAGAGACTCTTGTTTCCGGGTCGCCTCGGCTGGCTCGCGCTGATTCGCTGCGACAGTCCATCGTTTTTGTATCTCCCAATAGATGACCCCTCTGGGAGGAGCATCCGACACAACTCCTCCGGTTGAAATTACATGTATCCCTGTTGTGTCCGTTGTCCGGTCTCTTTGTTCTCATGCTGCCAACTTGTGCCAAGATATTAAGATCTACCAGCAATAGGACCAGAGCAGGGGTACTCCTTTAAATTGTATTGTTGTTTTTTACCATTAAACAGATTATTGTTTATCCTTTATCCTGGTGCTTCGAATTCCTTCTTTTATAATTTAACCAGCTCATCAAGGGACGCGCGGAGCCGAGTTGGGCTTCAGACCACCGTCCTCAGCGCTCCAACATAAGTGCACTGCCTTGCTGCCTGTAGCACCACCCTGGATACATTTCCTACAGGATAAGAGTGAGCAGAGGGTAGTTCTCAATTCTAGTTCTGTTTTCTGTGACTATCTTCCTCACCCTCTCAGACTTTCAGTTGCGCGATACTAAAGAGACACGCTACCATGGACCAAACAATGGTGTAGCTGTATTAAAGTCTGAGTGGAAACAGTCCTGAGTAAATCTGATTTTGTCAGAAATCGGGAGAAATGCGGGAGAAATATGATCCCGGGAGGAAACCGGGAGAGGGCAATGAAATCGGGAGTCTCCCGCGAAAATCGGGAGGGTTGACAAAGTATGCCCAGTGCGTTCTACACCTGGTGACCTAACATAGCCTGAGGCCGCTACGCAAGGCTAGTGGATTCACCACCGTGCGCTTTTCCCTCCATAACACTCACTGTGTGATATGCACT